CTCTCTCACACACACACACACACACACACACACACACACACACACACACACACACACACACACACACACACCACACACACACACACACACACACACACACACACACAATCTCAACAGCTCTGAGGGTTTTCTTCAAAGACAATTGAGAATCCATTTCCTTGTGTGCCCAGGATGTTGAGGAAGGCATTGGCTGGAAGGCAGAAAGGGCGGGAGTTGGGAAATATCTCCCAGGAGGCAGCTTGGCTGAGGCCAGTGCTCTCCTCCTGCCTGGCCAGACAATCCAGCTCTGAGTTTTATGACGCTGCTCTGCAAGAAAGCCCCAAACTGCCAAGAGACGAGGCAAAATGGTAGTGACTTAGCTATATAACATTGTGTTTGGTTCCCATTAGTGTCCAGATTGATAATTACATCTTGAAAATCTGTGTTTGTAGGTATTTTCATTTAATATTTTTAGTATTTTCAGATCATGGATAAATGAATCAGTGGGTATTTGTCCAGCAGATACATGGGTCCTACTGTATCTTCCTTTATGTTTTATAGGAAAGCAGCCACTTTAAGCGTGAACAAAGTTCAATTGATTTCAAATGCCTATAATCTCTGGTTGGATGAAGGTTAAAGGCAGCTCATTCTTGCTGAAAAACAAAGACCTTCAGAATATCACAAGTTCTTCTCTTCTTCTTCTTCTCTGAAATGGCATATTCTGTAATCTACTATATTCAAAAGCAGCTGGAGAAAAACGTATTGCTGGAACACAGAAACATAGAGAATGACCTTATCCAACAAGAGAGATTTGGGAATCACACATGCTCAGTCCTGGATCTTAGAGTGCCACATGACTGCTATCATGATCTTTTCCCCCATGCTGATGATGGAAAAGCCCTCTTGCCCTTTCATGGCAAAAAAAAAAAGTTTTAAATTTTAAAAAAGGTCCCTTTCAATGCATTTTGGGAGGCGCTGATTCTTGTGATCCATCAAAGCATGACAAATTTGCCCCAATATTCCCTAGAATAAGCAAGGGAGCTTTTATTTTATTTTTTGCATTTTTTAAATTTTTACTTTGAGGAGTTTGGGTGCAGTGGGAAACTGGGGACCCTGTTCAGATGAAAGGCCACATATCACTCACTCAGTTGTACAGAATGTCACTGCTCAAATAGTCCATGAGCCACATGCATTTATAAAGCCCCAGCTTCTCTGGACACTGCATATTTGGATTTAGTGAAAAGAGACAGAAAGAGAGTATGACTGCTCTGAGAAGCCCCCAAGAGTGGTGTTTCTCCTTTAAAATAACAGAAAACCCCTACCCCATCCAATTGCTCTATGTAACAAAAAAAAAACACACCTGTAATTGCAAAACCAGGGATGGATTCCTATTTACTTCTAATTTCATTTTGGAAGGCTAGTGTGGATCAAGCACATACTGAGTCAAATAATCAGCCTGTTGAGCCTGGTGTTTTTCAGGCTGACTGGCAGTGGCCCTCTAGAGTTTCAGGCAGAAAAACTCCCAACTCAGCTGGAAATGCCTGGGGCTAAATCTGGCACGTTCTACATGCAGAACATGCACTCTGTTATACAACTTACAACACATTATCTGTGATGTGTAATTCAGTTCATGCTACAAACGGCAAATACTCTCTAGCACCTTAGAGCCCTATTCCCATGCCTGAATCCCCACATTTTTTTCTAAGATATTTCATGAACTCTAGGCAACGTCACTGTGTTTTCTTCCCCATTCCTGGGCAGTATTTTTACAAAGTCAGAAGTGAGCCCTGGTGTTCAGGGACCTAAAACAGTCTGCGAGTATGTCTCCAGAGGGTATGTGTGGGCATTTGTGTACATGTTGGAACTTGAGAGGTATCATGGTGAGGGCTGTTCAAAAACGGTATATATATATTTTCAAGATTGAAAACTATCCATCCCTGCCATAGAAATTGTGTTATTCATAGGCTTAAGACAATGGTGTCAAAGGTGTTTTATGGTAATCTTGTACCTAACTCTGGCTAACCTTCTGGAAGAAGAGTCAGACTGTCAAGTTATGAGCAAACTGCGCAGTCCCAAAGCACCCCAGAAGAAGGGAATGAGAAAAATCACTTCTGAGTACCTAGAAGGCCCTGGAAAGAATTGCCATAAGTAGAATTGAGTTAGTGGTGCATAATTATTAGCAAAGTCTTATCTAATGCAGGTCTAACGCTAAGTGATATCTCTCATACAAATTAATGGGATTAGAAAGTCTTTCATCTGGATCACACCCAGTAACTATGATCTAACAACAGCATTCCACTTAGTGAAAGCAGTCCTATCAACAGAATAATTTCCCATCCACCATCCCCTAGCATGACCTCAAAGTTTGTTGCAGAGGACTTGGAAATCTTCTGAAAGAGATGCACAGTGGGACAACGGAGGAAGAAAGAAAAAAAGAAAGAAAAAATCCTATTGGCTTGGCAGAAGCCTACTAATATGACACTGGAATGAATCAGAACTTGAAAGCAACAAGTTATAATATACCTATAACTAGACACTTTTTTTGATAATAAGAGTCTAACAAGGTTTCATTGGAAAGCCATCTAACTAGCAGGGATCAAATTATATTACTGATGAAATGAGTGACTCTTGTTACTTTTTTATGGTGTTTAAAGGCCTTTCGAAATATGTTTTGACAGAATTTTTGTTTTATTAATTCTCTTACCAACCCCTCTTTTTAAAAAAGAAAAGCCACAATAAAAAGTTATGAAAAACAAATGTAATGAGTTGCTTTTCCAACCCTGTAACAAGTAACAGAAACAAACTTTTTTTAAAAAAGTTGTTTTTGTTTTTAAAACTCTCTTTCTGTGTCCTTTCAGGAGCCTTCCTGATTCCATATTTCCTTACTTTAATTTTCGCTGGAGTTCCCCTGTTCCTTTTGGAATGTTCACTTGGCCAGTATACGTCCATAGGCGGCCTTGGAGTCTGGAAGCTTGCTCCAATGTTCAAAGGTACAATGCGGAATGAAATACATGTTTTTATTGCTTCTGTCTCATACTTAAAAATTTGGGTGTTGCAAAGAAAAATATCTTGATCATTTTAATAGTTGCCAATTTTTTTTCCTGTCATACTAGAAATTGGTATTGTGCAGCAATATTAAAATACTATGCAAATGTGTCTCTGTGTATTGTAAAAGAAATGGTAAAATGACTTGAAGTCTTTAGGATAAAAAGTGCAAACAGGGAATGAATATCCCCTGCCTCCCTTTATTTCAAATTTTATGGAGCCAAAATAGAATTAGATGCTCCCTTCAGTTATGAACTATTAAAAGAGTGTTATGTATATAATATAAGAGTGTTATGTGCATGTGCTATATATATCATTATAATTCCTGTATCATCAGTACAAGTCTCAACAGTTTCAAAGTTCAGCCTTTAAAATTATAGAAATAATGCCACCACATCCCATACTCCCCCCCCCAAATACTGTGAATGTAAAATTTGTCCGCATATGTGAATGAAGAGCTATAGCCAGTCTAGCTGTAATTTTTACTTGTTAGCCTTCCAACAAGCATTAGGCTGTCAAAACATGTGAAGTTGTTTCCTTTACAGATCAGGCTAAATCTGTGAACAAACTGATAGCATGAGCTCCTGAAAAAACAAGATAACAACAGACACATTGCATGGCAATTGGTATTCCTGACAAAGCAACACAGTGAATTCTAGCTATAGTTTCTCAATCATTATTCATTTATTTATCACCATGCATATGGTATTTCTGGCAATTATATCATTTATCTTGTGCCCTTTCACAAAAAAAACAAAAAATGAAACCATGGACTTTTATTACTCTCCCTACGAAGTGTGAGCATATATCAATGTGTGCATGTGCTAAGTAAGAGCTGAAGGCTGGGGAGAAAGACTTCATTGATTCTATCTGAGCAACAATCTGAAACCAGGTGTCCCCACTTTGTATCCCTATCTTTTCATATAAGTCTCTTGAATATTGCCTGTGTTTTTGCATCTGTTTCTCAACACATAATTTTCCAGGTGTAGAAAGGTCAAATCAGACAATGGCTAAACTCCAAGTGGCAAAGCTCTATCAATCTATGAGGATAATGACATCAGCTGCAGCTGTGCTGCAGCAGGGAGGGGGCAATAAAACACTTCCTAGAGCCCCCCCCCCCAGGTTTCAGAGATCCTCAGGAGTTGTCTCATTCTCTGGCAGCCTTTGGGAGTTACAGGGTGGGAGTAAGAGCAATTTAAAACTGGAAAACCATCACTGTTGACCCCAGTCCTGTGGCAAATAAGGCTGTCTCTTTCTACACAAGAAAAGTATAAATAGAAAAAGTACTTTTGCATGGCGCCATTTAATCATTAGCCCTTAATGATTTTGAATCTCAATATTTGTTGAAACTTCTCTCCCACAAAACAGCTACCCACGACACCCAGTCCTCACTGTCCTTGATGCTTAAAATTGTGACATTCAAGGAGGGCAAAAAAGCCCATTGAGATTTCTCAATTGTGACCCCTTCCCTCCGGAATAAGTTTCCTACAGAGGTTCGTCAGATACCATCCCTCTTGGCCTTTGGGCAGATGATTAAAATAGAATTGTAGAAAGCAGCCTTTGGTGTTTTAACCAATTCACCTGAGATGTTAAATTTGTTTAAACACGTTTAATTTTACTCAAATGTAGGTTTTATAAAATTAGCTAGTGACAGGGTTTGTACAATGTTTATTGTATATTATGGTTATTCTTTTTGTGTGATTTTCAGTTAAGTCATTTTTTAGGTTCTAAACTCCCCAGGGAGTGTTCGCACTAATGGGGTGGTATAGAAGTTTAAACAAGCAAGCAAACAAAGAAGCAGACCATTATTATCATGTTTTGTACTGCTATCCCCCAATCTGAAATTCATGGGAATATGTGTGTCAAGCAGGGTCAAGATATGCAGACCAAAACACACAAAGTAATTTTATCTTACAAGTATTCACATTTCACTAAAGTTATGTAGTAAAGATCTGCTGATAAGAACCTGACTTGTTCTCTTCTCTCCTCCAGGTGTGGGATTAGCTGCTGCTGTCCTGTCCTTCTGGCTTAATATTTACTACATTGTGATTATTTCCTGGGCCATATATTATTTGTACAACTCTTTTACTACAGTAAGTGCTTTTTTTCTTGTTGTTTTAAAAGCCCTTAATTACAGCCAGACGTTAGCATTCTGCTTGATTTCATCAGACTTGACTGTAACAATAACAACAAAACAAATAATAGATTAAGTTGCTGGCAATAGATCTGAGATACCACCCACACAGACTGAACAAAAACCTGTGCCTATTTGGAAAAGTATTGTAAAAATGTATTATTCAAATATAACAATTATTGTCGGACAAAGAGAGAGAGAGAGACATAGTGGCACCTTAAAAACTAATTGCTATATTTTAATGTGAGTTTTCATAGATCAAGTCCACTTCCACAGACATAAGAATGAGACTATATGACTGTCACATTTATACATGGCTGCATGTCTAGGTGTGGATACAGAAGGACAAAGTGACAATGGTTGGTTCATATAGCAGACACAAGCTGCAAATTATGTGACTCACTGTGGAATTTTTAAGGGAAAGTAACCTACTTAAAAGGAATCAGTCCAGGGTCTTGAGTAATTGCTATTGTTTTGTTGTTGTTGTTGTTGTTGTTTAGTCGTTTAGTCGTGTCCGACTCTTCGTGACCCCATGGAGCACGGCAGGCCCTCCTGTCTTCCACTGCCTCCCGGAGTTGTGTCAGGTTCATGTTGGTTGCTTCGCAGACACTGTCCAGCCATCTCATCCTCGGTCGTCCCCTTCTCCTCTTACCATCACACCTTCCTAACATCAAGGTTTTTTCCAAGGACTCTTTTCTTCTCATGAGATGGCCAAAGTACTGGAGCCTCAGCTTCAGGATCTGTCCTTCCAGGGAGCACTCAGGGTTGATTTCCTTTAGAATTCATAGGTTTGTTCTCCTTGCAGTCCAGGAGACTCTCAAGAGTCTCCTCCAGCACCACAATTCAAGGGCATCAATTCTTTGGCGGTCAGCCTTCCTTATGGTCCAGCTCTCAGTTCCATGCATCACTACAGGAAAAACCATAGCTTTGACTATTCGGACTTTTGTTGGCAAGGTGATGTCTCTGCTTTTTAAGATGCTGTCGAGGTTTGTCATTGCTTTCCTCCCAAGAAGCAGGCATCTTTTAATTTCGTGGCTGCTGTCCCCATCTGCAGTGATCATGGAGC